CTGGTAGTGCTTGGGGAACAATGCCATCCTTTTCATCTTCTATAAAGATTGACACATAATTAGCTTTCTTATTTCTTCTGGAACTTCCCTAGCATTCTGAGAGTTAGGAAAAATTGCTGTTAATTGTTCAGACAGTGCCTTAATTAGCTGTCTTAAAACTCAGTATGGTGATCCCGGTGATTAAAAACCATTTAACTGTACTAGATTTGTAAGACTGTGGAGATGCAGGCTTTTTTCTTGTTGAACTTGGACATGTGGTGTGAAGGCGAGAGAATAGGCATGTAGTACTTGTCGGTGGCCCTGCTATAGGTTGGGAATCTGAACCATACAAACCATAAAATACCTGCTAAGTGCATCTCCTAGTGTTAGGACCCAGGGGAAGCGTACCATACTTCTTAATAGCAGCACATCTCTCTCTCACAACAGCCTTAATAGTTGATCTTTGCATGCACAACTGGCGACAGCTGTGGATGGAGAGTTTCCGCAGGGTTAATACTTGTTACTGAGGGAACTCTCACTAGATCTGATGCTGCTCCAGGCTCTGAGCTCAGCACAGAGATGTGCATCAGAAGGGGTTTAAATATTCCCAGAGTCCTGCCATCCTGTCCAGCCAGCCTCTGATAGTTGGCCAGGCCAGGAAGCAGTGCATCACCTGACAAGTGTACTCCAAGTAGAGATGTAACAGTGGGATTTTCGTCTGTAGTTGCTTCAGGCCTTTTCATCCCAGCTTTGGTAGCCCTTTGTTACTTTGGATATACTAGGAGCACAGCAGTGTGTTCGTATGCATCTGTGAGAAATCATCAGTGACAGGCTCTCTCTCAGTGCTTTGAAAACTCAGCTCTTTGGTTTCAGAAAAGTGAGCTTATGTGAGGTGATCAAGAGAAACCATGGGAATTATTTTGACCACAAATCTCAGGATTATATCCCACAGATCAGAGCATAAAAGATCCCAGAATGCAATGCAGCACAACAGAGCACCATGGGATGTCTGACGGAATGCAGAGTGTTTATTTCAAAATATTGTAGTGGTGTGGGGCCACAGTGATAAGAGGCAAAACTGCCTTTAATTGTGGGCTGATACTGTGGTTTGGACAACCGGCCCGTACAATTTTACATAGCACTTAACACAGTTACCCACAATACGTATGTGGCAAGTTTCAGGTTTGGACAAGTCCAGATTGATTGAAATGCTTTAGAAAATGGAATAGAGACTTGCTCTTAAATACTTGCTTTCTTTTGAAAACTTTACCCTTCCTGCCCTGAACAGGTAGGGTTAAAGCTGTTGTTGCTCTTAACAAGTGTTGCTGCAACCGAATAAGCTCTTAGCATCAGCATTTCTTCTGAGGATATTTTCTGTACCATGTATTCAGATGGCATGCAGTTTTCAAAATGAAGAAAGCTAAATTGGATTACGGTTACATTTATTTGGAGTAGGATCAGTTACACCCTTAGTTAATTTTGACACACTTTCCTTAGTGCCTGTCATTATGGTATCTATTGAAATTATGTTGTACTGAGTATTAAGTGTAAAGAGTGTTTTAGGTGCTGAACCATAGAATCATAGAAGTAGGGTCGGAAGGGACCTTATAGATCTTCAAGTCCGCCCCCTGCCACGGCAGGAGAAAAAAAACTGGGCTCAAATGATCCCAGCCAGGTAGGCATCAGGCCTCCTCTTAAAGACCCCCAGGGTAGGAGCCAGCACCACTTCCCTTGGAAGTTGGTTCCAGATCCTAGCCGCCCTAACTGTGAAGTAGTTCTTACGGATGTCTAATCTAAACCTCCTCTCCAACAACTTGTGGCCGTTATTCCTTGTTTTGCCAGGGGGCGGTAGGGGAAACAGTGTCTCCCCCAAACCCATCTGGTCCCCCCTAGTGAGTTTATAGACAGTCACCAGGTCCCCCCTCAGCCTTCTCTTGTGAAG